TATATTAAGAGCGTCTAAGAAGAGATCTGGATAACCTCATTGCAATAATAGCTATCACTTCAAGACTTTTATCTTGGAGAATATAATTTTCATTGCATAACTGAAATTAAGTGTATCAAATATACTATTGCCAGTTGTTGTTGTTAAACTCTTTGTGCCTATTTCAGGTTTCAGTAGACAAGCTGTGGTGGAAATTTTGGGTACCTGAAAAACTATAGCCAAATTATCTAAACTCAGAAAATTTGTGAAATGCACCCTATATTATCAAAGTAATTGCAATATTATTATTTGACATTCTCTGGCTATTTAACATGGCTTATTGCTTCCTTTAAATGCTTAGTTATGTTGGAGATAAATTGTTCTGATGGAGAAATAAGCCCCAGGGGTGTGTGTGTGTGTGTTTAATGCTTGTATTGTCCTGGAAGCTTGTCAAGATTAATTTAGCTTGCAAAATAATTTATGATTTTCAGTTATTTGAATGTTTAATTGTTTTTTTTTTAATTTCAAGTCATAAAAAGCAGTAATTTTACATCTCCTTGGAACTAAATGATCATCAGAATAGAATAATAATAAAGAATAACTTTAATGATGACTTGTGTGTTTTGAGCCCTGTAGAAAATCTGGCTTTTGGGGAAATCAATGATAGCCCAGAGAGACCAGGATGCTATAGGATAACATTGTTAAATAAATGTATTGCCTAGGAAACTGTAAAAAAATGAAGTCAAGATAAGACTCCATCTGGCTGCTGCTCCCTGAGCCCTTCAGATAATTGTTATAATAAGTAAAAGGTGTATGGAGTATATTATGCTTTTCTTTGGCCCAGGTCCTTTTTCCGTGTAATGTCATAACACATTAATTAGCAGCAACATTCTCAGCTATAAGTGGGATGTTCGTGATCACATAATGGCTGACACATTTGCACAAGCATTTGTTTTGCACCAGCTTTAAGTAATGTTTTCATAATGTTAAAAAGTCAGGTGATCAGGTGCAGTAGAAAACATTAACATCTCTTCTTAAATACTGGCAATAGCTAGAATGAATATGCCAGGGCCTGAGTCATTTTTGGAGTGTTTGTATTGTTTAATTTTGGAAAACTGATTTATGAAACAACGGTTCCTGATTCATATGTGCAACTTGCCATATTGTTTGCTATTGTAATGGGGTAGGAAGTGTTGTCTTGTAAGCTACACAAGTATAATTAAATCCTGTGAAAATTGATGGATTTAAAAGAGGATTAACAAGTCCTTGCAAAGTTAACTTCCTCTGGGTAATCTCTAGCATTTGTTAATATTCTTGATATATTCTGAAGCACATCTGGATTACTTTGCTTCAGAGACATGATGTTTAAACATGCTCACATTTTTCTGGCATTTTATATCTATAGAGCAAAATATCTTGACCTAAGATTTTGTTTTTAAGTCCTTATTAGCAAAAGTTAATGAATGCCAGGTCTGACTGGAGCTCTACCCCCAAGCTTGTTGTAAATAAAGGAGACAAAGAATGCCTGGTTATACATGGAACACATTTTCTCTAAATTATCACAGTGAAGTTACTCATAGGTGACATTTAGATAGCAAGCCTTTTGCTAACAGTCCGGTACCCCAGTTTCAAAAACCATTTTGTGCTTCTTGACTGATTTATAATAGTTAATACTCACCTTACTCCACCATGAATCACTCGCTTGGAGTACCAAGGAGTGTAGGATTAAAAGCTTGTTTTGAATATGGCTTGCTTAAAGCATAGTTTAAGCCCAAATA